TATATACTCACCTGAATTGGGTCATTCAAATGGAGTGCTATAATATTAAAAGATAATTTAAACTACAATGTACAGAAAGGCATTCAAAATATGTAATGCCAACTAACGTCAATTGAAATAAAAATAGAAAAACGGAAACTCGTTGTTGGTGCAATATACTGATCTCCCCAATTCAACCTGTAAAAAGATGGTTATATTAAAATACTACAGGATCTAGGAGAAACATTCATATTAGGTGGGAACATGAATGCCAAACATGTCTCATGGGGATCTAGATTATCTACATCAAGAGGAAAAGTATTGAAAGCAGCAGCAAATCGTCACGGTTGTCATATCCACTCAACTGGTAAACCAACATACTGGCCAACTGACGCAGATGGATTGCCAGATATATTTGAAATATCTATAACATAAAAAAATAGGCCCACATTGTGTCCATATGAAGCATAATTATGATCTGAGCTCTGACTATTCCGCTGTCATTTTAAACCTGAGTGAAAAAGAAATACCAAAGACAACAAAACCAATGCTAATGAAAGTAACGACGGATTAGGAGAGCTTTAAAATGGATATAGAAAATCTAATTAAATTAAGATGTATTATAAACACAATACAGCAAACTAGAAGAAGAAATGGAAAAATTTACAAAAATACTCGTAATACAACAAACAGCATGACAAAATACCAAAAACTATATACAAAAAATAAATAATATCTCATACCCTAATTAGATAAAAAAATTAATTAGTGAAAGTAGCAGAACTAGAGAAAGGTGGCAATAAACTACAGACCCAGCAGGTGAAAATATATTAAAAAGAAAGACACAAGAGATGGAAAGGAAAATTCTTAATTTTAAAAACGAAAATATGGAAAGTTACGTCAATAACTTAACACTAGATGAAAACACTAATTTTTCGGTGTGGAAAGTTAGAAAAAAACTAAAGAAACCCATAGTACACATTTCACCTATAAAAACAACCAACAACACTTGGGTAAAAACATATGAAGAAAAGGCATATACATTTGCAAAGTATGTAGAAGTAATTTTTAAATAACATATAGTTCCACGAAGTCAAATTAAAGACGAAATGGAAAAAACTGCAGGGCATGATTTGACCACCGTCGAAATACTGGTGAAAGCTGCCAAGGAAAGGTGTATTATTCTTAACAAAACTCATTAACATTTATTTTAGATTAAAATGTATGCCAATGATTTGGAAAGTTGCTGAAATTACGATATTATTAAAGTCAACAAAGCCACAAAACGAAATGAAGTCATACCGACCTGTTCTATTATTACCAACGCTATCGAAGCTAGTGGAGGAACTATCTAAAAAAGCTAAAATCAATTGGCTTCAGGGAAAAACATTCAACCATGAATCAAATCCAACGTATTACCCTAAATAATAGAAAATGTATTGGGGGAAAAGAAAATATGTGTAGCAACTTTTCGTTTTTATGTAAATGAAATATAATGAACATTTGAATATGTTGTTCCACTCTTCTTTCCCCTTTGAAAAGAAGCAAAAAAAAAGTATGTATTAAAAGTTATAATTTTTGATAAAATATGTACACCCAATTTTATTTACAATCCATCCTTCTATCGAATCACATTTGTAAAAATTTGAATGAATTCCGCTTGTAGAATTCTACGAATTACGAACTTAGATACGAAGTAGACAAAACGGGGGCAAAGTAGGCAAGTAGGCAAATGAACACAAATTCCTTTCGTAGAGATTACGAATCAGCAATGGCAACACAATTTTTCGCAGTGTCAAAATCAGTATTTCATTTTAACTGTCAAATGTTTTTATTTTTTATAGTTGCTATTTGAGTACAAAACTTTCATAAAAGAGGATGTTTTTTAAAAATGGAGTTTGACAGTTTTTTTTTAGCTTTTGAGTATTTTTGAAAAGAGAGAAAATTTTCTTATTGTGTTGGAAAAACTCAAATTTAAACAAAACAGGTAAAAACGTTTCAATCGGTATAAATCGATTGAATTATACCCTGCACCTTTCGTTGTTGTATAAAAATTACTCAAACCTGTGAAACCATTCTACAGAAACTTCACGGATATGTTTGACCTATAACAGACACACAACTGCCAAGTTTCATGAATCTGACTTTATTATTTTTCCAAATATTTAAAATTAGCTTTTTCAGTTGCATGGCAAGTACCCGAAGCTGTCAAGCAATTCCACTAAAACTTCGCAAATATGTCTGATCTATAATTGGATACACAACTGCCAAGTTTCATGAATTTAACTTTATTATTTTTCCAAATATTTAAAATAAGATTTTGGACCTGTATGGAAGCCACTCAAACCTGTCAAGCAATTCCACCAAAACTTCAGAAATATCTTTGACATATAATTGGACACACAACTGCCAAGTTTCATGAATCTGACTTTATTATTTTTCCAAATATTTAAAATTACCTTTTGGAGTTGTATGGCAGATATCCGAACCTATCAAGCAATTCCACTAAAACTTCGCAAATATATCTGATCTATAATTGGACACTTGACTGCCAAGTTTCATGAATCTGACTTTATTATTTTTCCAAATATTTAAAATAAGATTTTGGACTTGTATGGGAGCCACTCGAACCTGTCAAGCAATTCCACCAAAATTTCAGATATATCTTTGACCTGTAATTGGACACACAACTGCCAAGTTTCATGAATCTAACTTTATTATTTTTCCAAATATTTAAAATTAGTTTCTGGAGTTGCATGGCAGGTACCCGAACCTGTGAAGCAATTCCACTAAAATTTCAGAAATATATCTGACCTATAATTGGACACTTGACTGCCAAGTTTCATGAATCTGACTTTATTATTTTACCGAACTGACTTTATTATTTGCTTTTAGAGTTGTATGGGAGCCACTCGAACCTGTCAAGCAATTCCACCAAAACTTCAGAAATATCTTTGACCTATAATTGGAGACCCGACTGCCAAGTTTCATGAATCTAACTTTATTATTTTTCCAAAAATTTAAAATTAGCTTCTGGAGTTGCATGGCAGGTACCCGAACCTGTGAAGCAATTTCACTAAAATTTCAGAAATATATCTGACCTATAATTGGACACTTGACTGCCAAGTTTCATGAATCTGACTTTATTATTTTACCGAATATAAAAAATTTGCTTTTAGAGTTGTATGGGAGCCACTCGAACCTGTCAAGCAATTCCACCAAAACTTCAGAAATATCTTTGACCTATAATTGGACACCCGACTGAAAAGTTTCATGAATCTGAATTTATTATTTTGCCGAATATAAAAAATTTGCTTTTGGAGTTGTATGGCAGCTACCCGAACCGGTGCAGCTATCCCATTAATGCTATGTAGAATATAATTAGACACAAGTATACAAAATTTTATATTTGTACCTTTATTAGTTTTTGAAATATTTAAAATAAACTCTTTGAGTTGTATGGCAGATACCCGAACCCGTTGTCCGAATTAGTCCAATAACAATAGGGTTCGTCCTTGGCACAAAAGAAAAAACTTGTGAAAGTTTGGTGTCTATTACATCATTCGTTTTTGAGTTATCGTGCGATCGGACGGACGGACATGTCTAAATCAACGCAGAATTTTACGCTGAGCAAGAATATATATATATGTCCATACCGCAGATGACTCCTTCAAGTAGTTACAAACTCCATACCAAAGTTAATATACCCTTCACGAAGTGCAGGGTATAAAAATTGATACCTTGAAAATTTCAAACAGCCACTCTGTTTAAATTTCTTGTTACGTGTGATTATTTTTGCTACGAACGTAATTTTTGATTACTTTCTCACGCATATTCGTAGTAGGATTTTAGTAATTCGGAATTGAAAATATCAAATTCGTAATTTTTCGAATTTCTGAGGTACGAACTATTTTTCGTATAATTTTTTACGGTTGCTAATTAAAAATTAACTAAGGCACCATATATGGGTCTTTCCTACTTGCAATGTAGTTGCTGTTGATTGTGATGATATTAGCAAAACATTTTTGAATGTAAAACTTTTTAGCAAATTTTAATTAATATTTTGGTTATTAGTCACTGAAGTAAATGGTATGTTGATGTTTCTTCTCTTTAATTCAGCTTCATATAGTAATTCTTTATATGAATAAACAATATATTATATGGGCTGTTTACATTACTGTGGCACTGCGAAAGAAAGACAGAAGCACGAACTTTTAAAATATTATGAGGTTTAAAATTGCTGCGACATCCGACAAATGTTGTTGTGGTTTTTTTCTAAGAAATTGCGCACGAGTTATGTATACGAATATTGGTAGAAAGGAAAAATAAAACATTATTTTTATGCATGCAGATACTTTACCTGCAATACAAGTGTTAACATGTTATTTTGTTTCAATAGGTATCCTTATCATGTTTTGATTTCTTTTGTTCAAAAACAAAGATGATTAGACTAGACAAATCATAAAATATTCAATGTAAACTAAATAAACAAAATATAATAAATATTGTAATCTAAAAACAAGATAATATTTAAATCATAAATAAATAAAGATCAGTCTGGTTATATTTTGATAATAATATTATTGTAAGTCTTTGTCTAATTACATTTTAATTACAAATTTGGAAATATAAATAGAGGTAAGAAAAAGAAAGTTCTCAGTTCTAATTTTGATAAGTATTAAGACAAATTGCTGTCCGATCACGGATTAATATTAAATAGTTTCTTTGTTAAAGTGTAAATTAATATTAAGATTTAAAAACTACTTGTGAATGGTTTATTCAGTTTGAAATAAAATAAAATTAAAAGAAATAATTAAATTGTTTTTTTTAAAATAAAGGTTGTACGAAAACAAAAGTGGCGCAGTCGGTAGGATCCTTTACCGAAGTTTAAGGATCTAGTGATACGAATCTAAATGCGCATATATTAAAAACTTGTTTAAGATTAAAGCTATTAGTTACGAAGTAAAATTAAGACATTCAAATTTACGAAGACACAAAATAGTGAAACAAAAAAAATATATATGCCAAAAAATAAAAATCAAACTGAAAAACCGTATTATAAAAAAGAAAGAACAATTAGTGAATATATCACAGAAATGTTTAATAATTTAGTGCCTTTAACTTTACCCGAAAATATGGGAGAACAAAGCAACTCAGACACTACACAAAGTCAACAATCACAAGGAGATCACTCGGTATTGTTAAAACAATACGAGTCAATGGCAAAGAGACTTGAGGAACAGCAACAAGAACTCGATCATCTGAAATCCAACAACGTTCTTGAATATATTCGTAAGGAAGTAAACTACTTAAAACCATTCAACGGCGAAGAACAATATTCAATTACTTCATTCATCAGAACGGTGGAGGACATAATCAACGACATCAACCCAGAATCTTTCATGTACAAACATATAATTAAAAACATATTCAATGAGAAAATTCAAGGAAACGCTAAAACCAAAATATTGGACATCGAAGATAGCAGCGACTGGGTAAGAATTAAAGAAAGATTGAAAAGCGGGTACAAACCAAAAATCCAGGTTACAGAAATTTCAGCAGCAGCATTTAATATGCGGGTAAGTAGTATTGAAGAATTAATTACACAATTTGATAATCTTAGATGTAAAGCAAACGAGTTATATTATTTCTCTGAAAAAAAAAATGTAGAAGCTGGACCAGAAATAATTGATCATATGCTGGTCTTAGCTATTAAAAGAATGATTGGTGGTATAGGACAAAGATTTGTTAGAAACATAAGTAATTACCAAGAATTAAAAAATGAACTACTTGAATTGGGTGATTGCGGGGATATTATTAGAAATGAATTTAGGAAACCATTTAATAGATCAGATAGTAATAATAAAAATTTTAGAAACCAAACCAATATAAGAAACCCTGGTTATAATAGAAACTTCAATTATAACTCAAATAACCAAGTTAGGAATCATACATTTTTTCAAAATCAGGCCAATCAACAGAATCTTAATAGAATTTATAACTCAAATCAAAATACAAATCAGTTTAGGGAAAGATATAATTCAGACGGACATTTTAGAAATTATAATAAAAATTCAGGACAATTTAGAAATAGAACGAATTCAGGACAATTTAGGTATAATAGCAACTACAACAATAATAGTAATATAACTCAAGTTGAACAAAGTAATAATGGGGGTGGTCCACGTGATGAACCCATGGACGTTAGCAATATAGAACACGAACAAATAAATTTTCAAGAACAGCCTCGGGAAACGGACTCCCCATAGTAGTATTAAACATCGGAAATAAGGAATTTAAATGCTTGATAGATACTGGATCGACTATCAGTATAATACACCCAAAAACATTTAATTATCCAGAACAAAGGCTGGAGAAACCAGTTGAATTTTCTACTATTGGCGGATCTAACCGAGTAATGAATAAATTAGTTACTCCATTTCCGGGAGAATTCAACCTAAACGGCTTCATGAGTTGGTTAGTAGTAGATTTATCAAAAAGATCATATGATGCCATTTTAGGGCAAGATGTTTTACGTAAGCTAAAAGTAAAAATCGATTTGGAAGAGAATTCACTAGATGTAAATGCGAATAAATTAACATTTATTGGTGACGATTATCCTTTCGAGATAGAAAAAATTTGTAATATTGAAATTATAAATCCAACTGAAATATTAGAAAACTTTGATTTAAATCACATGAACAATGAAGAAAGATGTCTAATGGGGGACATAATAAAGAATTATTCGGATCTATTTTTTAAAGAAGGTGATAAGTTAACTGCCACAAACGAAGCTATGCATGAAATAAAAACCACTACTGAACAACAAATTAACGCTAAAGCGTATAGGTTCCCAAAGGTCCACGAAGACGAAATTAATAAACAACTAAAAGAAATGGAGGAACAAAATATAATTCAGAAGAGTAATTCTAGGTATAATAGTCCATTATGGATAGTACCAAAGAAAATTGACAATTCAGGTAAAAAGAAATGGCGTATTGTTATAGATTATAGAAAGCTCAATGAGATTTCAATAGACGATAAATTCCCTATACCTAATATGGACGGTATATTGGATAAGTTGGGTAAAGCTCAATACTTTTCCACACTCGATTTAGCGAAGGGTTTTCATCAAATTTTAGTCAAACCTCAAGACAGGCAAAAGACGGCATTTCAAACGCCGTTAGGTTTTTATGAATTTGTAAGGATGCCTTTTGGTCTCAAGAACGCTCCGGCGACATTCCAAAGGCTAATGAATTCAGTTCTTAGGGAATATATTAATAAAATATGCGTAGTTTATTTAGACGGCATTTTAATTTTTAGCACAACATTGAAAGAACATATCGAAAGTATAACAAAAATATTTAATAAACTTCGAGAAAAAGGTTTAAAAATTCAAATTGATAAATGTAACTTTATGAAGAAGGAGACTGAATTCCTCGGACATGTCCTCACTTCAGAAGGTATCAAACCAAATCCAAATAAAATTAGGGTTATTAGAGAACTTAAGATTCCTACAACACAAAAACAAATAAAATCTTTTCTTGGAATAACGGGGTATTACAGAAAATTTATTAGAGATTATGCAAAAGTTGCTCAACCGATAACGAGGTATTTAAAGAAAAACGCTAAAGTAAATATTAATGACCCAAATTATATAAATGCCTTCGAAAAGCTTAAAAGCTTAATAACAGAACACCCAATATTAAGATATCCAAATTTCGATAAAAACTTTACCCTAACTACGGATGCAAGTAATTTCGCTATAGGAGCTGTCCTTTCTCAGGAAGGACACCCTATATGTTATGCATCAAGAACATTGAATGACCATGAAAAGAATTATTCTGCAACTGACAAAGAACTTTTGGCAATAGTTTGGGCAACCAACTATTTTCGTCCTTACCTGTACGGTAAGGAATTCAATGTTTTTACGGATCATCAACCATTAAAGTATCTTTTTGTTAAATATAAGGGAAGGGATTTTAGTCCTAAACACCAGAGATGGTTACTAAAGCTTGGAGAATATAAAATAAAAATGGAATACATCAAAGGAAAAGATAATAAAGCAGCGGATTTCTTAAGTAGAATCGATAAAGATAAAAACGAAATTAATTTCATTACAGAAAACAATAGTAATTTTAAGACCATTTCACAACAACTTTCGGAAATAATACACAACCATGGTTCTAATGACTCGTTAGAAATAAATGCGTTATTTAACGAGAATAACGAACCTGGATCAGTAGATATGCAAACAGCGCATTCTGCTGAAGAAGATCTTCACGATCACATACCTATTCTAGAAACGGTAGTAAATAGGTTTAGAACACAAATAATATTAGTAGAATCAAAAGAAAAAGAATTTGAAAAAGTATTTAACTATAGAAGAATTTACGTCGACAAAAGGGATCTTGAAGGTAACATTTCAGATTTACTAAAGAAATACATAACAAAAGGTAAAATTGCAATTTATTCCGAATTGAATAATCACGAATATAATAAATTACAAAACAAAATAATCGAACTATTTTCCAACGATAATGAATTAAAATTCATTAAATGCAGTTTTTTCGCTAAAGATTTAATAGATGAGGAAAAGTGTCTGAAACAAATATCATTATATCATGGTAAAGAATCAGGTCATGCTGGAATAATTGAAAATTACGAAAGCTTAAAAAATAAAATATGCAGACCAAACCTCAAAATTTTAGTTCAAAGAATAATAAACAACTGCGACATTTGCACAGCAGGGAAATATGATAGGAAACCTATAAGGAAGAAATTTCAACTTACGGAATCTCCAAAGGACATTAATCAAATAATACATATGGACATTTATACAAATCAGAAAAACTCATTCTTAAATTTCATTGATAAATTTTCTAAACATGCTATAAGTATATACCTAGAAGACCGCAATAATCAAGCAATAATAGAGAAAATAAAATTTTATATATCTATAAAGGGTAAAATGAAAAAATTAGTATGCGATAACGAATTTAAGAGCATAAATATTCAGGAATTTTGCAAAAACGAAAATATAGAAATGCACTACGTTAAACCTAATAGTCATACAGGTAATTCAGACGTGGAAAGATTAAATAGCACACTTTCAGAAAAGATCAGAACTTTAGATATAGAAAATAAACTACCTATTAAAGAACAAATTAATAAGGCTATAGAATATTATAATAAAAACTATCACTCAGCAATTAAAACAACTCCTTTAGAAGTCCAAGAAGGTAGAGTAGATAAGGTCAAAATATTTAACACTTTATTAAAAATAAAAATTAAAAGAAATAATAAACTAAATAGAAATAGGGAAAATTATGAGGAAAAACGTAAAATAGGATTTATTAAAAATTATGCTAGTTTAAGACACAAACACAAACCTAAATATAGGAAATATAGATTAAAAGGTATCCATGAAAGTAATATAAAGAAACCATTAAAATTTTCAGAAGACTGTGACAATACTGACAATAGTTCTGACATTGACATGCATACTGTTACCAACGATGGCCAAAGCACATCTGGTACTACAAAACATTGAAGAACAGAACGGATTTACTATAATAAAGATGGACAAAACAAAAGTAGTGACAGAATCAGACATAGTTTTACATATTATTGACCCGACCGAAATATTACATACAATAAATTATTTAAAAGAAAACGTAGAAAACTTGGATTTTAAAAATAAAATTTTCATTCTATCAGAAATTAGAGAACTAACAAGTAAAATAAAGACAATTATGCCTAAGACTAACAGACAGAAACGAGGGTTAGTAAACATTGTGGGAGACATTTCTAAATGGTTGTTCGGTACAATGAACGAGGACGATAGGAAAAATATAGAAAATCACTTACAAACATTAGATTATAGTAATAACAAATTAATTACTAACTTAAATAAACAAATCAAGATAAACGACAATTTTAACAAGACATTTAACGAACTAAAAGAAATTATTTTAAAAGACCGAGACCTAATTAATAAGAAACTTAACATTATTAACATAAACTTAAAAGAAAACTTATATTACGATCAGTTACTAAAAATTCAACTTCTAAAAAACAAAATAGCCTGTATACAAGATAACTTAGCATCAGCAAAACATGGTATCATACATCCTAACATACTTACGAATAGGGAAATCGAGGAATACGACATAGACTTTTTTAAAATACAATATATAAAATTAGGAGTTACCCATTTTCAAAATAATCTAATAGTATTCGCAATCAAAATCCCAAAAACATTTGTAAGTGTTCAGTTAAACAAAATTATTCCAATACCAAATGAAAATAATAAAGAAATTGATGGTAGGCAAGAAATTGTATTCAAGTATGATAATAAAACTTATAAATATGAAGAAACCAAAACAATAAATGAATTAGAAGTATCTAATCATTGCATTTATAAAAGTAACTGTAAATTTATTAAAAATAATATAACAGAAATAATTATGTTAGATGAACAAACTATTGTAATAAAAAATGCATATAATATAACTTTAAACCAATCATGCGATTACAGGAACATTGTATTAACAAAAAATATCTTAATTCACTATAATAATTGCACACTAAGAATTTTTAATCAAATATTTTCAAATGTAAAAGAAACTATAAAAGAGCGATTTTATTACCCTAATACTCAGCAAAACAATTTTACTGATAAAATAACTTTTGAAGATTTCTTAATAAAATATCAAAATAATTTGGAAAAAATAAGAGAAACTAAATTCTATGATAAAAATGAAACAATAAAGATAAATGTAATTTTAATAGTTCTGAGTAAAGTGGTAACTATAATTTTGTCAATTATATTTTTAAAATTTTGTATGAATATTAAGAAAAAGATACAGAACAAAAGAAATAAAACTATAGAACCAAAACAAACTATTTCCAATATATCAGGTAGTAGCATAACAACAAGCGAACTTCCACCTTCATTTAATAAGGTAGAAAGAATTTTAAATACCAGAAATAATTTAATATAGTAGTAAAATTCAGGAGAATTTTTTTTCTTAAGGAGGGAGAAGTTATGTATACGAATATTGGTAGAAAGGAAAAATAAAACATTATTTTTATGCATGCAGATACTTTACCTGCAATACAAGTTTTAACATGTTGTTTTGTTTCAATAGGTATCCTTATCATGTTTTGATTTCTTTTGTTCAAAAACAAAGATGATTAGACTAGACAAATCATAAAATATTCAATGTAAACTAAATAAACAAAATATAATAAATATTGTACTCTA